AAAATAACCTTTACTGAAAACATTGAAGAAAAATTTGAAAAGCTTGTATATGATCAAATCCTTTTGTAATATTTTCAATATTCGAGATAACCTTTACTGAAAACATTGAGAGAACAAATTTGAATAGCTTGTATATGATCAAACCCTTCTACCGGGTATAATATTTTCAATAATCGAGATAACCTTTACTGAAAACATTGAAGAAAAATTTGAATAACTTGTTTATGTTCAAACCCTTCTATAATATTTTCAATAATCAAGATAACCTATTGGCTGGAAGAAAATCAGCTAGAAAATTTCTAGCCAGCCCTTGTTTTTCATAGCAGTTTTATGAACACGGCCCAGATTTGAGTGGAAACTAAACTAAGCCAGAGCCTCGCGGTGATGACCCTGAACGTGGCCCTTGCAGTTGACTGTGTGATGCCAACCTTCCCAGCATTTTTACGATACCTATTTCCTATCTTGCAGGGAGAAACCGCAATCTTTGGAATGTTGATTCAACCTGGGGTTCAAGTATTCCTGATTTTTTTTGAGAGAGAAGTATGAGATCTTGACTTCTTGAGAGCTAGTGTGCGATGATGGTGTCTTTTATTCAGTAGAAACGTATAAAGGATCATTATATAGCGAAAGTGACGTTCAGACAAGTCAATTGATATTTGATGTATGATAAAGAAACATAAAAAGAAACGTATAAAGAATCGTTGTATAGCGAAAGGGACGTTTAGACTAGACACCATCTTCTAAAGGAACTAGTTACGAAGAAGTCAATTGACATGGCAGCTGATCAGTCATTGTTGCGCGCTCATGATAAGTCCCGCCCATTTATACGATCTTTGTAGGTTATCACATTCATCTTACAACAGGACCTTGATTCTTTATCGAGTTTTCGATCAACAAGATGCTCACTCGTGAGTTTAGTTTAACACACGTTATTGCTGTTTGACATTCAGACAAGAAGAAACATTGTATAGCTATGCGATGAATTCTGGTGGTATGAACTTGGGGTTAGACAATCTAGTGGGGATGATTATCTGTCACTCTGACATTTAAAGTTCAGCCACCATGCTTGTTAGTTTTTTTAAGGATAGCAACCAGCAGTCAAAGCTAAACCATTAAAACAAATCAGTATATATCGTGACAATAAGAATACAGACATCTGTAGGTGTTGGAGCGCACCCTTTCATGCACGATCGCCTCCTTTATTGCAATGCGGTTTAGCCTACCACAAACAAAGAATCTTAATAGTTCTATGTTTTTTTCTAAATGGTATAAAAGTTATGGGTAGAATGAAATGCAAGAGTACACATCAGTGACTAAAAATGATTTGTGTGAACTACCGATAGTTGATTTTTTTTTTACATCTTTTGTTAATCAGGAGACAAAGGAAAGTTTTGAATCTTGATCACGTATGAAAGATGGATAGTCATTATCATTCTGATGACACATAAGGGTAAGACGAAGGTGTATAATGAAACTTTGAAAAATGAACTCCGTCAATCAAGGCTCGATCTTCATTACGCAGCACAATCGGTGTCATGATTAAGCTTGTCAACATAACCCTATTCTTCCCAAGAGTCAGGGGGGTGATGACAGCCCCCCTCATCGCCCTCAAGCACCCCCCTGCTTATGGTATCATTTAGGATATGTGTGCTTGCAGAGGAACGATGGAATCAAATGAAGGAAATGGATTATTATGCCTCAAAGAGACAAGTGTGTAGTCTCATCACTGTTAGATTAAAGTGCTTTTGTGCAGCATGCACATCTTACTTTGATCTCAATCATGTCTTCGTGTCACTATTAAGCTAGCATCAGCAAAATTAAACGAAGGAGATGAAAGTAATTTCAAAAAGTGCTGATGATCTTGTGTAAAGTTTTGGAAGATAATAGAAAAAAATAATTCTTAGATATTTCTTTTAGTTGTGTCAGTACTCAGTATATTCCTTATAAAGGTTTTTTTTAAGTTCACATTTTGTTTTTAAAACTGTATTAAGTTTTTTGAAAAGGTCGCACAGCAATCAATTAAGATACCTAGACTAATATATCCCATTTTCTATCAGTAGAAATGTCTCTTGTATTTACTCAAGGAAAAGTTCATGAGTATATTAGACATTCAGGATGCCAAAGATAAGTTGTTTTTACGTCATCTCCTCAAACCGGTTTCATGTCCAATCAATGTTGGGTATACTTTGATTGAAAGATTGTAACTGGTAAAGGGTTAAATGTCATGAGCAGGAATGTGATTATCATGTCAGGCAGCAGAACTGTGAAACGTCTTACCCCCTAGAGACTCTCAGAAGGTGCGCTGGTATCAACATATTTCTGAGAAGATATCTTTATAGGCCGGTCTTCATCAGCCTGAGATTGCCAAATAGCCCGCTATTTCTGATTTGGGAAATAATCCCGAAGTTACAAATTGCGCCTTCATCAGCTCGAGACTTGACCTCGAAACTTGAAACTTGAGCTTGAGATATTAGCTCAAGTTATTTTGCTCCGCGTTCGCGCATAGTGCGAATCTTCAGGCTGGTGAAGAAGTTGCACTGGACAAATAGCAGGATATTTTGCAAACTAGCCCAAGATATCTTGGGATGATCATCTCGACCAAATATCCCGCTAATTGCAACTTCGGGCTGATGAAGACCCAAATTAATGGGATAGTTTGCAATCGGGATAGTTCAAATAGCGGGATATTTGACAATCTCGGCAATCTCGAGCTGATAAAATCAGCCCTTTATTTCTGAGAAGATATCTTTATGTGTTGGGATCCAGAAGTGCGTTAACTCATGTTACCTCGTGTTATTCAAAGAAATTCCATTCAAGTGTGAATCCTTCTTTAATCTGAGCAAAACATAAACATTCCGCTGGAGATCCCAGGCTTCAGAACATGATAGCCGTGATCACATTGGGAGGAAATGGCGCATTAGCCCGTTTACGTTTGGACGGGTGTCGCGTCGTCGCTAACACAGCCCAAGCCTTAGTCATTTCTGGTCTTAGTCAGACGATAGCACGACAAAGAAATGTACATCGTCAGTCGAGACAGAATGCGACGAGTGTTGACACCCTCTCGGCCTCTATTTCATGTTCATATCTCAAATATCAACTACCCACCCATATTGTTCAGGGCTATTTCTAGATATGTCAGACATCGGGCAAATTGTATTACTGAGGGGGAGGTTGAAACTGTTGTTTATAAAGTACTTTGTGTTCACATTTTATTTGGCTATATAGCACTATTTGAGGAAAATCTCCCTTTTTAGCACGTTCCAACCAAGTTAATACACCGAGAGGATTTATTATTAAGTCGTTACGTGAAATGAGATCATTTCAGACTTCTTTTCATCATGTAGGATTACATGAAAGAAATTATCGTTCGTATTTCATCCTTTCTTGTCATTCCTGGAATATATTGCCTTATTAGCTTACCCAAGGAATTTGTTGAGGTGAACATTGTTTTGTTATTTTTCATTTGCGATAAGGGATCAGTTAAACCTTTGAATAAAATCATAAACCCTTTTCAAGGGGATGTTATTTCAATCAACAGGAAAAGGGGGTGTATTATTTTTTCAAAATGCATACTTTGGCCTCGATCTCCATTATCCAAGGGGGTTGCGGTTATAGATCGAGACTCGACAATGGTTCTGAATATCCCGTGAAACCGGGGCCCCTGGGAAGTGCATGCTTGGCAGCCATTCAGGAGTTGAGGTGCTGTGATATACCTCTCACTCGGCCCTGTTTCCTCCTGCGGAACAGGTGCTCTCGTCTGAGCCTAATTCCCTTCTTTCCTGAGCTCTAGCCTGCCTTCATTCTCTCACTCGGAGGCTGCCTGTCTTCACATCTAATCCTCTTCTCATCACCTTACCTGCGCTTTTCATGAATTGAATGAGGCCATCTAAGGAGGCCTAAGGAACTCACTCTTAACCTCTTTGGCGTTATTCTATTGTCGAGCATGACAGCTGTTTAGGACAGAACAGAGACCTAATTTGATAGCCATTTTGTCATTTTGTGAAAGCGCTGTAGACACCTGGGTCATTTCCACAGCGAGTTCCAAATTGTGGACTGTTTTTGAGAAGGTAATAGCCCCCCTAAGAAATGATGATTTGCCATTTAATTGAACTATAGTAAAGCGACATAAATTCCACTTGGATTCATCCCTGTTAATTACAGGCCAGTAACAATGTGCTATCTTTCTCTTCCGCAGCCTTTTAGACAAGTGTCATTCAGAGCAATCCAATCATTACTTGGATTCAAGCATCACATATATTGTTCCAATATTTGCTTGAATTCCTATTCTCCCTATAAACTCGGGGGATAATAACAGATGCCAATTTGCCCAAGCATGAGAGCAAATAGTCTACCCTTTTCAATGATCCTATTTACTCCTGTTGTGTTGGCTTGTGAGAAAATAGTGTGTATTTTACCACCAAGGGATTAGCTTTAGCCTTGCTGTTGAAAAGATCATCAAGAAAAGAAACCACTCCTTTGAATCGAATTCGTCATTTTTACATGATTCTCATTTTCTACCTTCCCCTTGCCTTTTATTGTGAGAGGAATAATGGAGCATTCCAATCGGTGTGTTGTGATTACTGAAAGGAGTCAAAACTGTTTGACAATGGCGAGCTGTTTAGATCTTGCAGCTTGATTTCCAGCAGTCTGCGATTGTCTGGCAATGAACACAGGGCCTCCTTGCCAGCGAAGGTCAGTCAAGGTGACTGTACTAGTCACATACAACCTGGCAAGGCGCTTCTAGTCTTGATAAACCAGACTGTGGATAGATTAGCTTGTGCGCTTGGTGGAAGCATGCATGTCTTGGGTTTGGAATCTTAGACTAGGAGCTTGTCTGACAAGACAGTAATCGGATTACCTGAATTGTTTGTGCAAAGAATGATGAGCGTTGCCCTTTAAAGAGGCGATTAGGGAGAATAATGGGGGAGTTATTTTTTCATGGGGGATTGAAAGTGGGATAGTGGGTCTCTGGGTGAGCCTACCTCCTACCTGTGTGAGAAAGCAAATAGAGAACCACTCACACAAGAGGAAATTTCACCTGTCAACCATAATGCCTGTACAGGAGTGTGTGTGTGTTTGAAGGGAATATTTCCACCCCTTTTGACCAAAGAAGGTGCTGGGTTGTTGATGGTAATGTGGTATTTCAACCCTCTTTGTTCATTTCTGTGTTTTGCAGGTGCAGTGACTCGTTTGGATTTCTATACTCTGGATCACTCTACAAGTTCTTGGAGCCCATGGTGTTGGATATGTGCAAGTGATACGGCAATCGGATCCTGGCGTTTTTGTGCGGCGACCCGAGTTTTGGCTGCGTGATCGCTGTTCATGCTGTTCAGCCCAGATGTGATCATTACTGGCCCTGCTGAAGAAGGTGCCACGGTGCGGCTTTTTGTCGCACTCCACCCGAGAGCTTACTCCAGCAGGCATCCAAGCCCGAGTGTCACAAGATGGACAGTAGCCACACTCGGGAGGATACCAATGCACCAAGTTACGACAGCAGCGACGAGTGGGAGATAGGATTAGGTAATCTCATCATAGACCTGGATGCTGACCTTGAGAAAGACGGCCACCATGATGGCCCTCCCGCGCATCTCGAAGCCAGCCCCATGAAGGTCGGCAAGATGAAGATCAAACGCAAAGTGAGCAGCAGTGCCACCAAAGGCGAAGGGGTGTCCCCGATCACCGTTCGCAAGGACTCGAATGCAAGCACGGGATCCTCGTCCACGATGGACGACGCATCCAGCGCTTATGCCTCCCCGGATCGGTCGGGGCGGGCCGAAGACCAGATTGGAAAACCGATAAAGAGCGTGGTTGCGCCACCCAGCAACCAAAGTGGAAGTAGTAGCAATAGTTGTGGCCCTAAGATGGAAGTGAATCCCGGTATGAAGCTTGATAAGCTTGTCCCGAACCTCGCAATAAAACCAATGACACCCATGACAAGCATGACACCCATGACTACCATCAGCAACGTATTGCAGCTAAAGACTCCCAGTCCCAGCACTAACCTCCTCATCCCCTCCCCCGCGCCCGCTACCACCGCCACGCCCCCTCCAGCCGCCCCTCCAGCCGCCCCTCCGGCCAGACCAAGCTCCCTGCACCTTCCTGGAGAAGGGGGCAAGCAACAGAAGACTCCTAAGAGCCCTGGTGAGGAGGCGGGAGAAGGGGAGGAGGCTGCCAGTAAGAAGATAAAGATAGAGAAGCCTGATTGTAAGGTAGATGGTGCAGCGGGGAAGAGGAGTGGAGGAGAAGCCAGCTGTAGTACAAGTGGAAGGAAACATGGAGGCAAGAAGGCCAAGATTGATAAGGTAATAACTTCATTCCTTTTACATTTTGCATCTGCCATTTTTTGTCCATTTCTTGCTCTCTTCACCATTTCCCTTTATTATTCACCCAATTGGTTCTTTTCTTTTTCTTCTTTAGATTTCCTTTCTCTATCTTGATCCCTCTCTCTCTTTAAACTTCTTTCTTGATATTACCTTCTGTCTACATTTATTTTTATTTTCTTCCCATCCCCTTTTTGTTGTTGCTGTTTCTGTTTCATATCATCTGCTGAAAATCAGAAGGGTGTTTGGTATATGACCTAACGTCCCTCTAGTTCCTAGCCGACAATATATTCTACTACTATTAAACTAACCTTCATTTTGTAAGTTAGTGTATCTGTTATTAATGAAGTAATATTTAGTCCTTTGTTAGAAAATGGCAATCGCCACAATGCATTCAGATGGCCTTGTTCATTTTCATGAATTTAAAATGTAGAAGAGAATGAAATGTTCGGAGCTAATCTGCACTGGAATACAGCCACATCAAAGAAGTCCTAGAGTTGGTGTTTTTTGTGGAATCAAATATCATGCCCGCAGTGTGTAAAAACCTGCCCGCATTAGGCGCATTACTTGCAAAACCGTCCAGGGATCGTGTTCACCACACCACCATTCAATTCAGGTTCAATTTTTATGGCAGTCAAGTGCACTTGAGTTTCATTCCACGTTTCTTGTTCAGAGTGCCTGATTAGGTTCACCCCACAACGTCCCACGTTACTTCAATCCGAAGAATGTGATAATAGACCACATAATCACTCGTGATGGGCCTTCTGCTTATCGCCGCCTCGCACCCATTTCTTCCCGAGCTGCCGTCTCCCAAGTCCTCCCAAGTCGCATGATCCGCCGCAGTGGATGAAAGATAATCATTTCTAATTTCCTTCCTCCTTTTGCTGATGGGTCAATTTACGGTGCTTTGAGAGAGAGCGAGAGGTTGGGAGAGAGAGACGGACAAAGAGAGATTGAGAGAGACTGGGAGAGAGAGAGAGAGTGAGAGAGAGAGAGAGAGAGAGAGAGAGAGAGAGGAATAGAGAAGCGTCCATGGAGGTACGAAAGGGCAGTGAAGCATTTTCATTACTTTTTGGCAAGTTCTGATTTTGCTCTTGCCCTCCATGTCCATCTTCATCCAATAATATTTCAAGGGTTTTAGTGGTGATGGGTGAAAGTTGTTTTTCCTGATTCATAAAAAATGATGTTCATTGAAATCAATCCTCTGTATTTCCATGTAAGTGGTTTTCCCAACCCACCTCTTTAATTCTCTGACTCCTTTATTGAATTGAAGTTGTTTTATAATATTGGCTGGACTCCGAGAATTGACTTTCTCAAGTGCCAAAATGAAATTGATAGGACTCAGCCTAGTATATTTTTAAGTATCGCGAAAGCTCAACAAGAATAAATATTGGAGAAAAAAAAACCTTCAGGAGTTTTTCTCCCATGCTAAATAGCGTATTATAAGTTGTTTGCTGATCAAATATTCCTTGCCTTCAGCTGGGCGAGGGATCAAGGTTTAGAAGATGTGTCACCCTGTGTAAGCTTACCCTAAATCTAGGGGTCATCCAGAGGGGGAGATTGCTACTCATTTCCTCTGATGGTTGAGTGCCAGTAAAAGTTGCTTTTAACCCTAACTTTAACTTTGGCAGGCGGACTGTGACATCAGTTTAGCCATGCAGTAAAATTCTGCCTTGTTTTTAGAAAAGGTTTTGGACTTTTGGTTAATAGGTCATGGATCAGAGAGGATTACGTTTACTGTTTATTCTAAAAATATTATAGGTTTCATATAGAAATGTCTATCTTGGACAATCAAACTATTAAAAACTATTAAAGAAATTTATGCTTCAATTCAGTGGCCTTTATAGACAGGTTTCACTGTATAACTGTTACACATGCTTCCTATGCCTGCGCCGGTTCAATTAATTAAGATTAGTAAACACGGAGATCCATTTAAAATACAAAAGTCTGAAACATATATTTTGTGCCAATGATAATTCCAAAGAGGTATTTATTAATATTCAGTGTCAAAGGTACACCGATAATAAACTCCCAGTGTGACAACTGGCATTTCGATTTCAAACAAACAATTCTTACAAAAACAGCTACATGCAAAGCTTTACAATATGTTGTACAGGTATACAATAAATGCTAGAAAAGGAGCAACCTCTTGACAGAATGGAAATTCTTTTAGGTAATCCTCAGGCGTCCGCTGGTGGCTTTTTCACTGTCTTGTTACTCTTAATGTTATATGCTCTGTGTTGTCATTCCTATTTTGTTCATACATGTACCTGGAAATCAAATAAATTTCAAATTTCAAATTTCAAAGTAAACTACACTGTACATTAGAAAAAACATCAAAGAATAGAAGAAAAGAATGTTCATATAAAGTACAAATGATAAAACACAAGTCGTTCGTCAGTAAGCACTAAATACATCGATCAGGCGGAGAGCGTTGCCTGAACAACGACAGCAGTCCCAACTCTTGTCCCGAGGGAAATGGAAGTGGAACCATGGTGGAACCATGGTGGAACTGTTAAGAAACAAAATCAAGGCAGGTCTTAAAAAGCTGAGACATAGTAACTTCTGGGGGAAGTTACATCACACGTCTATCTGCCTTGAAGTCTAAACTTGCTCTCCTACTTAATCAATAATAATTCTTCTTTATATGGAACACAGTAATTCAACAAGAGTATTTATCGTCTTACAAGTAGTTAGTGGGCTATCACTAAACTATCTAATCAAAAGTATTTTACAATGACTGAAATATCTATAAATAGGTCTGGCTTGTGGAAAGTGATATCTTAATTCATACACAGTCACAACCATCTTGTATCAAGAGTTAATGGATAAACACATGAAAATATAACAATGGGTTTTCCAACGTAAGGAGAATCACACTAAACAGTATCGTACAATTCATTCAAATTGCATGAGGATCTTATAATTTCTCTATAATTTACTAGAATAAAACATGAATATACTTTTAGGAAGGTGGGTGTTCGCTTACCTGTTAAGAAACAAAATCAAGGCAGGTCTTAAAAAGCTGAGACATAGTAACTTCTGGGGGAAGTTACATCACACGTCTATCTGCCTTGAAGTCTAAACTTGCTCTCAACGAGAAAGCCAATCTTTCTTCCAAACCAGGCAAACAACCCCACTATTCCCTATCCCCAAGACAAAGGGGTACCAGTAAGTGTATCCACTGGTCATTCATGATTTATGTACTCTACGAATAAAGGAAGTGGTCTGGGTTTAAGACATAAACAAGGCCTATAGAATAGGGGTCTTTTTGTTCCCATCTATTTGTTTCACCAGTAGCATATACCAGAGAGGTGATCTTAATAGAACCATAGTTTAAAGGTACACTTTAAATAGGGGTTCAACAATTTAAAGTAATATAAGCTTACTCAAAAATAGAATATAGGTTTACTCAAAAAAATAGAATATACCTTAATAAACAGGGTCTGACACTCTCCCCTCCTAGAATCATGGCGTCCCGACATCTTTAATTACAAGTCAATACAATGATAAATTTCCGCAGACTTCAGAGGACAGAGAGAGATTAACCAATCTCATACTTTCCTACCTAGATGGCAAGATGTAATTCTCTGTAGATGACCTCAACATTGGGTGCACCTCTTCGGTCAAACACCGCATCCAGCCGAATGATTCCTCCTTCCACTATGCTTCATTCTTGGGTAGAATGAGCTTCACCCGAAAGGTGGTGGCAGTTAAGGATTTCATTGGTTTGGTGCTATAGTACTTATGAAAAAACTTGTAAAATAAAAATAACTAGTGCCAGCGTTGTCGTCTCTGACTGAACGCAAACCTAATTGTCAGTGTGAAAGTGCAGATGGGCCTCGATGTACCCAACAATGTATGGAACTTCTGATTTCACCTGCACCAAACACGAACAGGTCGTCATGGATTCCAAGTGACAGTGCGCTAACTTTTTGTGATAACAATAAGCAGATATGCATGTCAATTGGGATCGACCTAGTGTCCATAAGGCACTCATAGGGCACACACTCCGTCAACCTCAGCCCAGACAGTGAATTGGGTACCCACTAGTGCGGCTGGAGATTTATCAGATGTGGCCCGATGAGATGGCTTCGTCTGCAAACTCATAATTGCAGATCGCCTTATGGAACTCTTCTTAGGTTTATCTTTGGCCACCTGTTCGGCCAGAAACTTCACTAGCTCTGCCTTAAACTTAGGGTTAGAGTCAGACATTTTTTTTAAAAGATTATAAAGCTAAACTATCCAAAAACAGGGTTAACAAAATAGTTTAAGATATTAAGGTGCCTAAATATACTATTTATAACACCAATCAGGATTAAAAAACGTGCTAATTATTATATAAAAAACAAAAATAATTATAAGATGAGAATATTGATATAGTAAAATAGAAACCACAGTAACAACTAAGCTGGACAAGCTACCCCTTGTTTACTGTTACGCCTGTCAGTAGTAGGGCTGCTACTGATTTGACCTGAACAACAGCAACAAAAATTGATTAGGTCACACTTCAAATTATTAAGACCACTTTCAAATATACGCTATGTCCAACTTAGTGTTTTACAAGTTGTGGCAATCAACACAACAACAATCATACACAGAATATTGTTAATCTCGATCTTCTAAGCAAGGAGAGATACTTAATTAAAAGCAATGAAAAAGGTATTTTCCTTTTGGGAAAAACAACTAATATTTTCCAAGAAAATTTAACATCCGGGCAGTGCCTCCATTTGTTACACAGGCTTCCTATGCCTGCACCGGTTCAATTAATTAAGATTAGTAAACACGGAGATCCATTTAAAATACAAAAGTCTGAAACATATATTTTGTGCCAATGATAATTCCAAAGAGGTATTTATTAATATTCAGTGTCAAAGGTACACCGATAATAAACTCCCAGTGTGACAACTGGCATTTCGATTTCAAACAAACAATTCTTACAAAAACAGCTACATGCAAAGCTTTACAATATGTTGTACAGGTATACAATAAATGCTAGAAAAGGAGCAAAGTAAACTACACTGTACATTAGAAAAAACATCAAAGAATAGAAGAAAAGAATGTTCATATAAAGTACAAATGATAAAACACAAGTCGTTCGTCAGTAAGCACTAAATACATCGATCAGGCGGAGAGCGTTGCCTGAACAACGACAGCAGTCCCAACTCTTGTCCCGAGGGAAATGGAAGTGGAACCATGGTGGAACCATGGTGGAACTGTTAAGAAACAAAATCAAGGCAGGTCTTAAAAAGCTGAGACATAGTAACTTCTGGGGGAAGTTACATCACACGTCTATCTGCCTTGAAGTCTAAACTTGCTCTCCTACTTAATCAATAATAATTCTTCTTTATATGGAACACAGTAATTCAACAAGAGTATTTATCGTCTTACAAGTAGTTAGTGGGCTATCACTAAACTATCTAATCAAAAGTATTTTACAATGACTGAAATATCTATAAATAGGTCTGGCTTGTGGAAAGTGATATCTTAATTCATACACAGTCACAACCATCTTGTATCAAGAGTTAATGGATAAACACATGAAAATATAACAATGGGTTTTCCAACGTAAGGAGAATCACACTAAACAGTATCGTACAATTCATTCAAATTGCATGAGGATCTTATAATTTCTCTATAATTTACTAGAATAAAACATGAATATACTTTTAGGAAAGTGGGTGTTCGCTCACACTTGTTCCGAAACAAAATCAAGGCAGGTCTTAAAAAGCTGAGACATAGTAACTTCTGGGGGAAGTTACATCACACGTCTATCTGCCTTGAAGTCTAAACTTGCTCTCAACGAGAAAGCCAATCTTTCTTCCAAACCAGGCAAACAACCCCACTATTCCCTATCCCCAAGACAAAGGGGTACCAGTAAGTGTATCCACTGGTCATTCATGATTTATGTACTCTACGAATAAAGGAAGTGGTCTGGGTTTAAGACATAAACAAGGCCTATAGAATAGGGGTCTTTTTGTTCCCATCTATTTGTTTCACCAGTAGCATATACCAGAGAGGTGATCTTAATAGAACCATAGTTTAAAGGTACACTTTAAATAGGGGTTCAACAATTTAAAGTAATATAAGCTTACTCAAAAATAGAATATAGGTTTACTCAAAAAAATAGAATATACCTTAATAAACAGGGTCTGACATAACCTTTGGATATTGTGTTTCTTAATGCACATGTATTAATAATGATAATAAATAATAATATTCCGCTTTTATATAGTGCTTAATACATAATGTCTCTAAGCGCTTACAGATATATCATTACCCTGGGCCAGCGGATTCAGGCTTGCACGCACTCAATGTGTGTATATTCTCCACTCCCTGGGGAGCATTCCAGCCAGGCGTCACAATGAAACCGAGGTGGCAGATCAAACATTATTTATTATTGAGTACCGAAGAGTGATGTCACAATAGGAACGGATAAACATGGTGACCAAACAGAGGATGCAATGATTTGGATGATTGATTAAAAGGGTCATTAAATAGTTGAGGGATTTGTTTATGATGTCACTCTGTGTGCCCTCACCACTCCTTTGTCAATCCACAAACAATTGAGTTACATCCCCTAGGCAGGGATCGTTGTTTGATCCTCAAAAGATTCAGCATTCATTCAGACACGTCAGAATTCATTGTATACCTGTAGCTAGCTATATAGTAATTGCTACTTCATCTTTTTCTTGTCTGAATGGGGCATGCATAAAGAAACGTCAAATAACAAAAAAATTGTACAGCAAAATTCACATTTAAGATACATATAGTTTCGAACAACAGCTCCATGAGTATTGGGTTTCGGTTTTAGTCTGAATGTTGTATCATCATATGAAAATCTTATAAAAACTGGATGAGTTTATCATGATCATCATTATGATGGTTGACTAGCTGTCATAACATCGTACCACTTCAAAACTAGGTACTTTATTTTATAGGGACTGCATGTCTTTATACAATGTTCTTATTCAGTGTGAACACTTCATGATTCTTTACAATTACACAATACTTAGTGTTGTATAAACTTTCCGTGTTCTGAAAGGGCCAAATGAGAGCAAATGCTAACGCTTTAATGGATGAATACGCACAGCTTATTGCTTCTAAGGTCTTTCTCTTTGTAGTAGGATGTTTTTGCCAAAATTTTCATTTAAGGCTTGAGTAACCGGAGGTGGGATTTGAAAGATATACATCTGTGAGATTTCAATGACACCGTGAAACATTTAATTGTTGGATTTGGGGATTTGCAGTGCAGGCAATTACGTTTCCTAGGGTTGAATGCTGAGGTGTGAATGGTTGTTTATCAGCAGGAAATCTTACTTCCAGTTTTTTGTTATCGATGTTTTTCGGTGATTAGAATTGGAATCAATTGAGGATGATTTTGAAGCAGTTAAGGCCTGAAGGCTGCAGTATTTATGTTCATCTGATTATCAAGTGAGTCCCTAGATTTCTCTATATTTGTTACAAAAAAACGACAGCAGCAAACAAGCCATCAAACGAAAGCTGATATGTCTCATTAAATTTTCAAATTAAATAATTCGTCCTTGTTTTCACAATGTGACGGTAGTGAGGAAAATCGTAACGCAAAGTGAATGCAATTTTTTTTCACTACCGTCACTTCATGAAAACAGCGACGAATTGTTACTCTTGATGCAACACAGAACATTTTCTGTAAGAAATGCCTGAAATTCATTTCACATGCAACATAAGCCAAGAAACCATTAACCAATTATTTTCAGATTCTATACCTGAGACGTTTCTGCAATTTATTTTTGGACCGGGGCTCTGCATTTTTAAACCTCCCTCCCTTCCCAGTCATTTCCTTAGATATGAATTCATTCCATGTCTTTCATTCGTTCATCTCTGTCTTCCGTGCTTTTCTGTCTTTCATCATGCCAGCATGAATTGCGGTTCTTCTGGAGCCAGCTGTTTCGCACACATCTCGGGACCTTGCCCATCGATCTACCAACTGGACAAGTTCAGTTTAGTCTTGGGATTGAAACCGCTTTTCATCACTTTAAAATTGATCGCCACACATTTGGATAAAGGCCTACCCATGGACTCACTTGTAGTCTGCCAACTAACGAATACATATTTAGCCCTAGATTTTAAAATTGTTGTAAATCAAACAAACAATTTTTACTAAATGAGATGTTTGACTGAGGGTAGTAGGGAAGAAATTTGTTTTTGATTTATTGTAAAGTTGTAAAATCCATATGCTATGTAAAATACTTCTTATTGTTTGGGGGACAGCTCTAGAATTTTGTTAGCTTCAAATGTGCCTTTTTATTATCTGACAACATAATTGTAGCCTCATTGATATTGCATCGAAGAGAAAGATATTTCATTTATTCTCCTGATTCAATGGACAGTTCCTCTTGATTCTCTTTATAATCTGTCAGTCATAAACATTTTCAGGGCATGGAATATAATATTTAAAAAAATGAAGATTGATCAATGTCAGCTGCGAACAAACACGGTCGCCTTTGATACTGTGCCCACTCTTGATCATGACAAGCCTTACAGCTGTCTGATTAAAAGACTAATCCTCCATTCCCCCTCTTTTCTTTCCCAGTTCCGAGGGGGGATCCGAGTGTGGGTTGTCAGGTCAAATTTCCTGCCTGGTTTACCGCATTCAGGCGGTATTTCCTACCTGAGCCTGTTTTTCTCCCTATTTCTTATTTACGCCTCATCACTCTCCGAACCCCCTGGTCAGAACCACTACTTGCTTTTTCTCATTGATTTTGATAATGAACCATGCAAAAGTGTAATGTTTACGACCGATAGAAACCTGGTGCGAAAGTCTGACGAAGGTTGTTTCGAGAAGAAACAGTGTTTGCATGCCTGTACATGCATGTGGCTCATGGGCATGTTCAACTTTTGAGCGGACACCTTTTTGTCAGGGTATGTGCGACTAATTACCTTTAACGAGCATGACTAATCAATTCAGACCGGACGATGTTGTGTTGCAAATTGGGTTTGATGTGTTTCGGGGGAGACAACCTTTCAATTGGTGATTTTGCCCATGCATGTGATACCTAATTTACAAAGGAGTCACCGATCCTGCTAATGTTTATTCTCCTTTCAATCCAACTTGGCAACCCCCCAATTACAAATCATTATCATGTCCACAACTACCAGGAAAAGTGTCTTGTTGTTGTATGATACATGTAGTAGAGCTAATATTATTCCAAGGAAGACTATAATATTGACAATGATAAGGTTTCATTTTCTCTTTACACTTGGAGAGTGGGAGGACGAGAGATTAGAATCCTTTCTGAAAGATGTAATTTAGATCAAATGAGAGGTTTATGGATCATTGTGCTTGTGACGAGTGAGTGGGATGAAGGTAGTAGTGGTGGTGGTTTTGAGAAGATCATCATACTCGGCTTTCATCACTTTATCCCCCATGCCTACGTCTGCCACCACCGCAGCGATGCCACATCAGCAGTAGAGCTTACCTGAGATAGGGAATGTCTTTGCTGCATCCACACTGCAGCTAATATCTAGAAAAATAACTTCTGGACAAAAAACTTCTGGAAAAATAACTGCTAGAACCATGATTTTATGAATAAAGCCAAGTAAAATTGTTCCTAGTTTCTCAGCTTTTTTTTTTTTTTTTTAATGAGGTGGGCCCATGTTATTTGATATTTTGTTTGTGTATATATATATATGAATAAAGCCAAGTAAAATTGTTCCTAGTTTCTCAGCTTTTTTTTTTTTTTTTTTTTTTAATGAGGTGGGCCCATGTTATTTGATATTTTGTTTGTGTGTATATATATATATATATATATATATATATATATATATAGAAATGATATGGGGCCAGTTTCAGATCAAATTTCATTAAATTCAAATTTTATTGGTACAGAGACTAAAAATTTGGAGAAATTGCTTTATAATCATGAGTTTTGCTGACCCCGTTGTCGAGATGTCCTTAAACTGTTATTTGATTTCTGAACGAAAATTAAAAATTAAAAAACAATTTAGGTGGGCCGAAGAAAGGAAGGAAGGATGTGCATTTGGGAGTCTATTTATGAAATTGCCAAAATTGACTCTACGTGGTCCAAATCCAATCTTCCAGAGAATACAGTTCGGGAAGATACCGACGACGCTATAGTGTGAACCGACCGATGTCTTGATTTCAGTCTCCGTCAACATCTCCCAGATAGTGATGCTCTGATTAAACCGTGAGGGAATAATTAAGAGGGTCTGTTTTTCCCACTCGCTCATGTTTTTGAATCAGATTCGCTTCTAGCTCTCGATCCCCACTCTTCCAGCTGCCCCATGTGGAATTGGGGAAAAAGCCAGTAATAAACACTTCCCATGCAAATGGGTGATTTTGCGAAGCTTTGGATTTCACTGTAGTCGTACA